AATATTTATCCGTCATTGTTCTTATAGACGGTATGAAATGTATAAATATAGATTGAGATAAATGTATTCTGTGAGTTAGTTATAGACATGAACAATTTAAATAATGATAATCTCAATATACTTGATTTACCTGATGAAATTTTATTCATCATTTTTAAGAAACTTAATACAATTGATGTATTCCATTCACTAGTTGGTGTTAATCAACAATTTGATCGATTAGCACTTGATCCTCTTAATGTTCGTGATCTGAATATGACTCATATTATGATCATTGATCCGCTCTGTGATAAAACTCCTTCAATAGATACTGAAACTCTTTCAAAAATTTGTTCGAAAATCTTACCCCGCATTCATCGTCAAGTACATAAACTGACTGTTGAACAATATTCAATGAAAGATATTCTTCTTGCTGCCAATTATTCTGAACTTTATTCTTTATCACTAATTAATTTTCAAGCAAAAATACTTTATCAATATTTAAGAGGTATACTATTTCATTTTATTCGCTTTAATTAACGAGATAATCAATTTAATTATCGAAATTTTATAAAAATGGCCATTGACAAAATGCATATAACTTTTTAACAGAGACAGTTACCGATCTGCAGTCTTCATCATTCGAAAGAACGGATCGACAACATCTCCCTGTCCTTTCTTTCGGACAACGAAGGCTGCAGGTCTCGAGCTTTCAAAGTTATAATGTTATCTCTCCGTTATAACGTTATAAGCATTTTGTCCAATGATTTTTTAAGATTGTGATAAATCATGTAAATTAATAATTATCTGTGTTATTTGTTTTTAAATTAAAGGTGATTTAATTCTTCGTGATCTTCTTACCAAACAAATAACGCATCTTAATATTGATATTAAAAGAACAACAAAACGTTTTTCCATGACTGTTTCAAAGATTTTTGAATTAATCGTATCTTTATGTAAAAATTTAACTGTATTGAATTTTTGTGATATGTTTCACACACGAACATATGAGACTTCGGTTTTTTATCGATCATCAAATTATATGTCGTCAACTTTAATCAAATTGAAAATCAATGTTCCCAGTTTAGATCATTGTCTTTATCTTCTTGATGGTCGTCTCGATTCTTTATCAACATTAATTATTAATGTGGAATATATTTTTGATCGAGTAAAATATAGAGGTTCAAGGGTGAGTAGAATTTCAATGATCATGTTCAGCATATGAAGTTAGAATTTCGGCCTAAGGAATTTTCGTTCCGGACTTTCAACCCAATACAAAACAGAAATATTAGACTGAATGTAATTCGATTTTAATATGAAAAAATTTTCTTCTCGGACGAAAATTCCTTGAGCCGAAATTCATGTAACTCTTCGGCAAGAAAGATGCTAAACTAGATAAATAATTTTAATTTTATTTATTTTGTAGGAAAAGCTTCCAAAATTGAAATATCTTTCATTCACCATATCTAATGATACATGGCAATATGATAATCTAATTGTTCCATTACTTTGTCGCATGATAAATCTCGAAGAATTGAAATTATTTCTATTAATAAAAAGACATAACTCGATCTATGTTGATGGTATTCAATTATATAATCAATTTCTTATTTATATGACACAATTAAAGAAATTTACATTTTGTATCAACACAGAAGTCTACAACGAAGTTACAGTTGAACTTCCATCGAATGAAGATATTCAACGTAGTTTCATTGGAAGAGGATATCAACAAGTTACTTCATATCTTTATACTAATTCAAAGATTACAAGCCAATGTTTAATCTATTCACTTCCATATGATTTCGAATATTTTCTTAAGATCGACAATTCTTTTCAAGGTGGTATGTTTGATAAAGTTCGACAATTGAAGATGTCTGATGGAATTCCTTTTGAACATAAATTCTTTCAATTGATCTCTAAGGATTTTCCTTTTCTTCAATTCTTATATATATATAATGATCATCCACAAAAGTACACGACACATTCATCAACTTTAATCACATTTCCTTATCTCACATTTCTTGATCTACGATGTGCACATGTTCACTATGTTAAACTATTTCTTTTGAAAAACAATGCATATCTACCTTGTTTGTTAAATCTCCGAATCAGATACCAATCACTCACAACGATAACAAAGGATTTCACCAAAGATGCATTAGATTTCAATTTCGGTACATTGAAAAGTCTTGGTGTATGTCGATCATTTATTCGTCCAAAAAATCTCCATCAATATTTTCCTTTGTTATAAGTTATCAATAAAAGAAAATGTTTTTTTAATCTAAACTGTGTTGTAACAAAGAACAGAGAACATAGGTATAATAATCTTTAAATCTCTTCTACATGTAGCCCATTACTGGCTTTGTTTCATATGAACATATGCTAACAACGAAAGTTTTTATGTGTAAAGTACAGAAAATTTCAGCATAATCAATTATCAGCATGAACAATATCTAGCACAAGAATATTCAGTCTAAAAAGATTAGCCGAATATGTATCTAGATTTGTGACTCACGCCGAGTGCACGTTTAATTATAAGACTGGTGTTTATTTGAGTAATAAAAATATTGGAATGAGGAACAATTAAAATATGATTTAGCAATAATTTGTAGAAAATAAAAAAAAACTTTATTTAAGCAACTTTATATTATTAAATGTACAATAATTAGTTCATTAAATAGCAGTAGGAATTTCATACTTTAGCACTAAGAAAAAGAAAAATTAAATAATCATTTTTAGTTACAACGGAAATTAAAAAAAAATAGAGAAATATAGCATAATATTGTGTCAGTAAAGCCTTATTTTTGCTATGAATGGTCTGCCTTTTTTCATATGTATTTGTATAAATAAATCTGTTAGATCTGTAATATGTTCTTGTCTATATGCTGTTATTTCAAAAGATAAGAGTCTTTCTGTGATCACACACACACGTGGATATACACTTGCCAGTTGACGGAATATACTAGGCGCGGAGCCACCAGGGGAGCTAGGGGGAGCTGAGCTCCCCCGGAAAACTATTGAGCTCCCCCGGAAAACTATTGAGCTCCTCCGGAAAATTAGCTTTCGCAGGCACTTGACTGTGATATCACTGTCACCGTTCGATATTATTCATCAACAAAAGTAGGGATTCCGCATCTCAATTATATTGGCTATCCGCCAAAGATCAATAGAAGAATGTTTGAAAAGAAAAAAAAGGGTCTATGACAGTTGTGTGTAAGACAATTGTGCGTAAGACAATTGTGTGTAAGATAGTTATGAGAACAGACAATTACATGTAAGACAATTATGTGAATAAAAAATTGTGTGTAAGACAATTATGAGAACAGATAATGATGTGCACATCAATTTGTTTAATTTGCATTGACTGATACTAGTGAAAAAAAAGCATGAAAATGGTACCTATGCAAGATTTAAAGATACTTGTAGTCTACGAATTGCAGGCCTTAATACGCTTTACAATTATTGTGCAGGTTACTGCTCAGGTAAGCTTCGAGGCCACAAGAGAAGAACAATTCCAACACTTCTAAACAGATTTTAGAAATTACACAACTTGTTAATGAATCAATTCGATAACATAAACAACGCCGTCGGTGTGGTACTGACGACTTAACAATATCATAGACTCAGCCATCTTGGATTTTGGTGATTTTCGAGGAATCTTCTAACAGAACAATCATACGTAGACAGTGAAATTTCTCAACTGGTAACAAGTCTTACACTAAAACCAAAGGAAATCAAAAATCAACAAACAGCATCCAACGTTTTATGGTTTTTAAAAACTCTTACAAAACATAATATACAAAAACTAAAAGCGATTGCTCATGCATTCATATTATACTTGTTCACTGATTTGTTTATCGTGAATTATTTTTGTTATTTTAATTACTTTTCTTTTGTTCACTGTCTTTTTTTTCACAAAAATATTTATACATAATACATACACATTCATTTTGCACACATTTGTCTGCACACAACTGTCTAACACACAATTACCTTACACACAATTGTCCATACACACAATTGTCTGCACACAATTGTCTTACACACAATAGTCTTACACACTGTGTAAGACTATTGTGTGTAGACAATTGTCCATACACACAATTGTCTGCACACAATAGTCTTACACACAATCGTCGTGCTCCCGAAAAAAAAGATTAAATTTTATAATATATAATCTGTTGATATAAACAAACAATCATTTATAAGTAGTTTGGAACATTATGGATAAAAAAAATTCCAATAAACGTAATGCTACTATTGATACTTTTTTCGTATCTACTAAGAAATCTCGTGAAGAAAATAGTAGCACAAACATCACCTCAAATCAGTCGTGTTCATCATCTTCATTCTTACCTACTTCTTCTATCACATCGAACGACTTGAACTCTTCATTTCCATCTGATTGTGGTTCAGTTGATGCACGTGTAGTTCATTCCACACATTCATTATCAAGTAAAGAAAATTCTCCATCAAGATCTTCATCAAGTTCTCCATCAAAATCTTCATCAAAATCATTTCCTGGTGATGTGAGTCGAACAAGTCAAGATCCACCTTCACAACCTCATTTAGCAGTTTATCCAAAAGATAAAGATAATAGAGCATTTCAGATGCAATGGTTCACAAATCGACCCTGGTTAGAATACTCAGTAGAAAAAGACTCAACATTTTGCTACTACTGTCGTCATTTTTCACATTTTATTGCATCAAGTCGTTTTACAAAAGATGTGTTCACCACGCAAGGCTTTAATCATTGGAAGCGTGCTTTGGCACAGGACAGAGGTTTTAACAAACACGTTAACAGTCAAGCACATATAATGTCAACTGCAAATTTTTTTGAATATCAATCACGTCAACAATCTGGAACAACTGTACTTAATATTCTTGATAAATCAAGAGCTGAACTAATTCGTCAAAATCGTAATAAACTGATAAAAATTAGTTCAGCAATTTTGTTATGCGCAAAGCAATGTATATCTCTTCGTGGTCATGATGAAAGTCTTGAGTAAGTTAATTTGGTTACCACTCTATTCGTGTCAATGTATAATTAAAAAACTCTGTTTTCTACTTTCAGTTCACTTAATCGTGGAAATCTGATCGAGATATTAAAGTGGTCATCAACAACTGATCCATTAGCAAAAGCTATGCTAGAAGAGAGTGCAGGTAATGCTACTTATTTGTCACATCAAATCCAAAATGAGTTATTGAACATTATGGGAAATCAAATACGAGATAGAATTTCTAAAAAAGTAAGAAAAACGGTTTGTTAATCATGATTTTGTTCCATTAAAATAGCATTGTATTATTTTAGCTAGCTGGAAATGTATATACTTTATTAGCTGATGAAGCAGTAGATGCTAGTCATAATAAACAATTATCAATTTGCGTTCGGTTTGTTGATGATGAACATGAACTTAAAGAGTATTTCTTAGGATTTATTCGTCTTCATGATTTTGATGCTGCTTCATTAGCAAAAGAAATAGCTAATCATTTGGTAAAGCACAATATTTCTATGTCAATGTGTATAGCACAATGTTATGATGGGTAAGCAAAGATAGTTCGGTACTCAAACTCTATCATTTACAGAGTTTCTTTTTAGAGCTGCTGTAATGTCAGGTCAACATAGTGGAGTTCATGCGATATTACAACAAAATTTTATGCCAAAAGCTATTTATATTCATTGCATGGCCCACAGATTGAATTTAGTCATATGTCATGTATGTTTAGTTATTCCATATATCGAGGAGTTCTTTTCAATTCTGTCGAATATTCATAATTATTTCATATCTTCTGGTGTTACTAATCGATATTTTTGTGATGCACAAAAACTCCTTAAATTAGGTAAAAAGATCAAATATTTTAATCTGCTATTGCAACTTTATCAACGCTTTTTCAATTAGATACAACATCAAAATTGAAAAAGTGGGGAAATACACGTTGGGATTCTCGGTTTAAATCTATTGATGCTATAAAAAATAATTTTTCAGCAATTATTAAAGCACTTGAAGATTTAGTTGAGGATGGTGGAAGTCGTGCAGTTGGTGCACGAGGTTTGTTTGTACATATGAAGGAATCAATGTTTATAGTAGCAATGTTTATTTTACATCGTTTATTAGGACCAATAAAAATTCTGTCAGATCAGTTAAAAGGTAAATTCAATTTTTCTCATGTGAAATCTTTTCTTTTTATTGTTCTCTAAAAGGAGTTTGTGTTGATCTTGGTTCAGCAAAGAATCTTATATCAACACTTTATGAACAATTAAATGATATGAAAAATGAGAAATCATTTAAGGAGTTATATGAGCAAATAGTATTATTTGGAAAAGAAAATGGCGTGGATCTGAACGAATCTATTAGAAACAGACGTCAACAAACAATTCCATCAAGATTTAAAGATTGTTTTGTTATGGCACCATTAGGTCATCGAGATTATTATACTAATGAAGATAAATTTCGAACGAATATGTATTTTTCGACAATTGATTGTATTCTTATAGAATTACACGATCGATTATCTTGTGAAAAATTACAAATAGCAGAAAGTATTTCATCTTTATCACCATCTAGTGAAACTTTTTTGGATATTCAAATGTTACAACCTTTAATTGATCATTTATATTTGGATAATTCTATGATAAAAAATGAAATTTCAGTTATAAAATCCATGCTTAAAAATAAAACATTATCAATTATATTTGATTTACTTAATGAATTAAAGCCAATGAAAGATGCATTTCCTTCAACTATTGAATTGATCAAAAGCGGCATTACATTTCCAGTGTCGTCGGTTACATGCGAAAGAACATTTTCCAAAATGAAGTTAATCAAAACTTATGCTCGAAATTCGATGGGAGACGAACGATTAAGTGATCTTAGTATTTTGGCTATTGAGAAAGGCTTTATTGTTGACTTTGAAAAAGTAGTCGATGTTTTTGCAACTCAACACAAAAATAGTAGAATAATCTTGATCTGAACAAAAAATTTTTTATAAATAAAAATATCAATTAGGAATTCATTATTTGTCGATTTTTTCTTAAAACGTGAAGAATACGAGAATGAATAGAATTATACACAGAAAACAGTGGCACCGATCTTAGAAACTTTTGATCAAAATTTGCATTAGTTTTGACATATTTGGAAAAACTAATAGGGAGCTCAGCTCCCCCAGACCCAAAATCCTGGTTCCGCCACTAGAATATACCAGGAATAGATATGATACAAATGGAATATACCTGAATGATCATATGAAAAGAAGAAATGTAGAATCAAAGAGAAAACAGTATGGGAACGTATCTGGCAGTAGAGAACTGTGCAGGTTTTCTGGTTCCGACGAAGGAATCGTGAGCCATTCTATCATCTCGAATACTAAACTCTAATTCGAATATACATTTTGTAGAGCAATGTTTGCTCTTTCAGATTATGTGATTAGAAATGTACAAGAGCCATCCAAAGCTGAAGAGTTTTAAATAAAAGGTCCAGATACAAGTATGCACCTGATCAGACCCGAACCTATAGATCCAGACGTTTTATTTAAAAATCTCCAGCTTTGAATGACTTTTGTACAGTTCTAATCAGATAGTCTCAAAGAGAAAACATTGCCCTACAAAATGTATATTTGAATCAGAGTTCAGTATTCAAGATGATAGAATGGTTCACGATCCTTTGATCGGGACCAGAAAATCTGGTGCAGCTCCCCAGCTGGCAGAAAGAAAAAAAAACGAAATGGCACTAGTCGACGTTCTTGGCCTCATTCTTCCCAGAATCTTGACTTTCTTGGTCGATCAGCCAAGATTCTTTTTTATCTTGGAGATCAAACAAGAGCCTTTTCCTGATTTACCAGCTAGAATTTTACCTGATTTTCAAGAATGCAAGATTCTTGACAGGAAAGACAAATCTTGATTTGCCAGCCAAGATTGAGTCTATACGATTCTTGCCTGAACAGACAAGATTTAACTTTCCTGTCAAGAATCTTGCTACCGTCTTGAACAAGAATCTGAAAAGAATGAGTTCAAGAACATCGATTAGTGCAAATGATCAGTTACATGTCATTCTTAATATAAAAAAAATAAGAGATATTTATCGAACAATCGATACTCTATGATGTTTATTAATGGACATCTTATGTTAAGCATTGAATTCACGAATAATTTCTGATTTGAAACAGAGTTTTTTTATCTTTAATCGGACTAAAAAAAATAGTATTGAAAAAACGAAAAAATAAATAATTTATAGTTTGCTAACAAATTTCTTTTATGTATAAAATTTTGCGTCTGTTAGTGTAACTTTCAATATCTATCGTGTCTGTTATATCTGCGGAAAGATTATTGATATGTTCATTAATGAAATAATCAATTTATCTGCTAAAATTATGTGTCTAATATAAAATCAATTTTGCTTGTGACATAGTTCTTAAAAATTTTTAAAAATTTTAATCTTCTCAACTGTCAAATGAAAATTTGTAGAATTTTTTCTCGTTTGTACATTGATAAAGGTGAGTATTTATTTTTATTTAAAAACAAGTGAAGATAGCATACGTTTTACTTTCATATCAGATAAAAAGAAAGATTTCTTTAGGTTACTATACGTTGTTGAAATTTCTTATGAAAAGAGGATAGGTTGTATCAAGCTACATACCCAACCCTTTCACTTAAAAATTAAAAAGTTCAGAACATTATTCTTTTGAAATGTGTAAGATTGTATTGAGTATAACTCGACTTAATACTTGTAATCATTAGACGAACTATGTTTTATAATTATCCACTCTTCGGTCTGTGCAGTACGACAAAAAGCGAATCATATAAATTAGAAAAGCGATTAATATAATAAAGTAGTTTGAAGTTCTTAATCAAATATAGACTATTTGTCGTATTTACAGAAATCAAATAACAGCTAGAGACTATTTTCATCATGAAATTATCTTTAGGATAGTTATTTCAAGCATCAGTTTTGTGAGAAAAAGTAACTTCGGAAATACACGAAATAAATATATATATTTTAATTTAAAGTTCAAAATGTCAAGAATTTTTCATATTCAGTTGTATCAATTTTCAGTCAATATCAGTATCAGTATTGGTACACATATTTGAATATTAAAAGGTTTTTTTGCATTCAACATTCCTATCTATCTTATCAATAGTGATCTCTTTATTTATTGTATAAATTAAAACAAAAACTTAAAGTATAAAATAAATTTTACAAAAACTTTGCTTAAAGTCAGGTGCGTAACCAAGAAGTTTTCAACAGGAATGTATTCTAATAAAAATAGCAGTTTTATTATGATTAATAACCATAGTTTCTAAACCAAACACAAAACCCATAATTTTAATGAAAAATTCAATAAAATCTCAAACCAAGTTTATGATGTACATCAGAATGTTAAAGTAATTCAGGCGAACAATTTGATATAGATGAGTCAAGTATAATTTCTTTTAATTTATAAAATAGAATGAAATTAATTTGCTTGCGTGACCTACATGATCATTATGATGCGTATCATCTAAATCTATATACTTTTCTTAATGAAATTGTTTTGTTTTAACTATAACATTATTGACTACAAGTGAAATATCTTTTATATCAACATCACGATTAGCAACATTTACTGCAATAAGAATATTATTTTTTTTTTGACCTAATTTTAATTGAACTAGAGTGGAATCTCGACTTTCTCGATGTTTTCACCCTAACAGAAATTTAAAAAAATAAAAACAATAAGCTGTTTAACACATACAATTGGTTTGCCAATTGAATCAATATAGATAAATACTTAATGATGAGGACGACAAAGATAGATATGTGTTATACGGTCAATAACTGGTTTAATTGTTACTGTAAACAACACTATTTGAACAAATTTATCTTTTGAAGTTATCTTCTATCTTCTAAAAGTTCAGTATCTTGTTTTTGATTTTTAACTGGTAAATATTCCTGAATATGTTTAACATCAGCTTCAGAACTCATATCTATAAGAAAAAACTGATAAAACTTTCTAGATAAATAAACGAAGTTAAAAACCTTGTTCTTCATGGTAGAAACTACCAATACTTGAAATTTTCTAATTTAATTGTTTTTTTAAAATTTGTATATACTAATTCACAAGTCGATGCTAAAATAAATGCATATGATCTATTAGCAACATCAAAATATCTTTCGAAAGAAAATTTTCCTTCATTTCATTTATAAGTGAATCATCATCATACCGTATCAACTGTTGGTAATGATTGGATATTAGTAAATAGAAGTATGAGAAATTATGCTAAATAAGCATAATAAAAACACTGATTTCATGCAAATCAAATTTCGATTTTGTAAACGATTTTGAATAGCTTGTCATTAAATTTTAGCTGCATTATACCAATAGAACATAAGTTAAGTGAAAAATCTCTAGTTAGTTTTTGTTATTTTTCAAGGATAATCAGTCGGCAGAGAAATGAGACTATGAGCAAAGAATACAAATTTGTACTATTTAAAGTACTCACAAACGTATTTTAGTCATCCGAATTTCGAAAAGAGTTTTGAAACTTTTTTAGAGGAGTCCAAGTCTTGTGAGAGTAGATGTGGGTGTATTGATCATTCGACATCCATGTCCATATTCACATCTAGTCGTAATGAATGTGAAATATTTTCAATTCTTTTTATTTATATTAAGATTCTATTTGAAAATACGCCAGTTTCAATAAATTATTTCTTCTGAACTCTTAGCAGACTAATGGTGTTTCTTATAAAAATATTTTTGCATCTTTTTTTTCTCTTTCGATCACATTAAAGAGAAGCTCTAAAATATGATAAATAAGAAAACTCGTTCTTCGTTATTGTTATTTGTTTATATATCTATACAAATCTTACGTTTCTCAATGTTTTTCTCCATGTGTACATCGATGTTCCAAGTAAATCAACATAAATTTCGATTGATCTGTCTCTATGTTTCGATTACAATCCATGAAAGAAAAAAAAATTTTTTTATTTTAGAAATGTCAAGATATCGTTCCTAGATAGATGCGTTTTCACGTTCTTCATCAGCATCTAACAAAAACTTGAAAAGAAAAACAAACTAATGTAAATGACGTCGGTAAAGTTAGCACCATATTCGTCTTTATCTATCCCAATTCGCGATATTACTTGGGTTATTTCTAAAACCACTTGAGTAAGATGCAGAATTTAATTCTGCGCCGAATGATGCCAGTTTCTATGAGGGTTATCGGGCAAAAATACCCTACTTCCCTCAAAATACTGGTTTTTGCAGCTAATTCCCAAGATATTCCCTGTCCGGATTCGCTATATTACTTGGGTTATATCTAAAATCACTTGGGTCAGATGCAGAATTTAATTCTGCGTCCAGTGGTGCCAGTTTCGAGGAGGGTTATCGGGCAAAAATACCCCACTCCTCTGAAAATACTGGTTTTTCCAGGTAATTCCCAACGTATTCCCTGTCCGGATTCGCTATATTACTTGGGTTATATCTAAAAGCAGTTGGGTTAGATGCAGAATTAAATTTTACACCTAACCCAGGTGATTTTAGAAATAACCCATGTAATATAACGAATCCGCACATGGGATACGTTGCGAATTACCTGGAAAAACCAGTATTTTGAGGAAAGTGGGCTATTTTTGCCCGATAATCCCCCCTCAAAACTGGCACCATTGGACGCAGAATTAAATTCTGCACCTAACCCAAGTGGTTTTAGATATAACCCAAGTAATATAGGGAATCCAGACAGGGAATTACCTGGAAAAACCAGTATTTTGAGAGAAGTGGGGTATTTTTGCCCGATAACCTCCCTCGAAACTGGCACCATTGGACGCAGAATTAAATTCTGCATCTAACCCAAGTTGTTTTAGAAATAACCCAAGTAATATAGTGAATCCGGACAGGGAATACCTTGGGAATTACCTGGAAAAACCAGTATTTTCAGGGAAGTGGGGTATTTTTGTCCGATAACGCTCCTCGAAACAGGCACTATTCGACGCAGAATTAAATTCTGCACCTTACCCAAGTGGTTTTAGAAATAACCCAAGTAATATCGCGAATCCGGATAGATAAAGACGAATATGGTGCGAACTTTTCCAACGTCATCTATCACAATTAGCAAATGAAGTATGGGATTATATATTTTTTCCAGAAAAATCTTATCCATTATCATCAACTGATATATCTCATTCAACACTTGATCATCGTCGAAATGAATTTCAATATTGGTATCCAATTAGTTTACATTCAAGTGAAAAAGATTTAATATCAAATCATCTTATTTATTTATTAGGTAATCATACAGTCATATGGCCAAATCATCCGGAATATTGGCCACGTTCATTTCGTATTAATGAAAATTTATTATTAAATTCAAATAAAATATCTAAATCAACAGGAAATTTTATAACATTATTAGAAGCTATTGAAAAATTTTCAGCTGATGGTTTGCTCTTCCATTCCTTTTCTTTTCATTAGAAAAATATAAATGTTTTTCTTTTTTCTTTTTTAGGTATACGTATAGTAAGTATTAGCTAATGCTGGTGATGATTCAATTAAAAATGCTAATTTTGACGAAAACAAAGCTAAAGAACTACTTTTACATCTTTATACATTTATTGAATGGGTTCAAGATGTACTTCTTATAAATCCAGTTGATATTAAACAAAAATTTAATCTATTAAATCCATCAGAAAAGAGTTCAGATGTTGTTTCATCAGGTATGAATTGTATTAAAAATATATTACATCAATTTTCATCAAGTTTAGAGCATACAAATGAAGAATTTATTGATCAACAAAAACTATATTATCGAACAGATAATAATTATATTTATGACGATTATGTTTTTGAATCTGAAATCAATTATGCTATTCAATTAACTCAGCAAAATTATGAAAAAATGTTATATAAACATGTTCTTACAGATGGATTTTTTGAATTAATAAGAGTACGAAATAGATATTGTCAATTATGTTTTGAATTGCAAAAAAAAATTCATTTCGATTTAATTAAACGTTATATCGAAGTTCAAGCGATTTTATTAGCACCTATATGCGCACACATATGTGAATATGTTTATCAATTGCTTCATCCAACGACATCAATTATGAATGCTAACTGGCCACCTCTTGGTAAGAAGAAATTTCAAAGAAAAAAACCGTTTCATTCTTAATTTATTTGTTTTTGATAAGAAGAAAAAAAATACAAATAATCTTACAAATATTTTTTTAAATATTTTGGAACAAGTAACTATTAGAAATTATGATCTACCCGGTGGTGGTTATAATATAACATATTCAAGTATTTCAACTAGTGCATTATCTACATGTCATTTTTATTTAATACCCGGTATATTAAATGACAAGAACTTTGGATATTTATTACATAGTTCAAAAGATTTTCAATCATCATCACATACTCCAAAAACAACAGTAATTTCAACAATAAAATATATAGTACATGATATTAATAAATTACATCTATATCGACCAATAGAACATCCGAATAAAATCGAATTTACTAATATGAAAGAATTAAAAATGTTGATTGGAGATGGTGCAGAATTACATGATGATCTTATACAAAAAGGTTTTATTATTATTAAACAATTATGAATCTTATGTTGAAATACAAAACTTACTTCAAGGGTGTGGGTGTGGGTGTGGGTGTGGATATGGGTGTGGGTGTACCTACTCCATTCATCCACATCCACACCCACCCCCACCCCCACACACACCCTCACACACACCCTCACACCCACACCCACACTCACATCCACACCCACACCCCACACCCACCCACACCTACACACGCACACCCACCTCCATACACCCACCTCCATACCCACACCCACCCAGACACGCACATCCACCCCCATACACCCACCTCCATACCCACACTCACATCCACACCCACACCCCACACCCCACACCCCACACCCCACACCCACACCCCGCACCCACACCCACACCCACACCCTATTCGTCACTATATAATAGTGATAAAAAATGTAATTACACAATGTACAGTAAGTGCCATAAGTGGACACGATTAAAAAAATGAGGAAGACAAAAGAGTTATTTTATTATATTTTATTTATAAAATCTACATAATATGTACATCATCGTAATAATTTATATATAGTCATGATTTCTTTCAATTAACGATTCTACTCTATTTTTCATAGAATCGACTAATTTTTCAGCAAATTCAATAGATAAATTTTACCATTCTTTTCTTTATTGTTTCAATGAAATTATTGATGAATATATACGGTTCTTTGTTTATTCTGTTCTTCATTAATGCCCAGTCATTTTCACGTGAGTCACAGTCTTTAAGTTTTATATCTTGCTGGAGTCTTTTTTAAAATATCGTCACTTGTTGGCAACGGTTTCGAAGTCGGTTTCGAAATCGGTTTCATTAAATGTATGCTAACCTCTTTAAATCTTCTTCTTAACGTAGTTTTACTAATTTCTATATCTTTCTGTGATAATCTACACGCAATTTGACCGACAGATTCGATTGAATGTTGAGCTACCATCGATTGAATCGTTGCATACTGTTTTTCCGGTATAGACCGGATTTTTATGCAAATTCTACGTCACCAGCAATTTCACATCTTTTAAGGGCACATTTTACAATTACTCACTGATTCATATGAATACCGTGAAATATCAGCATTTGACATGTGTGGGCCATACGTGTGTCGTAATAAAAATACGATTTCCCATCTTTTCTTTATAGAAATGTCGCTTTTTTGATTGAGTTATAAATTGATAAAAGACGCAATAGAAATGTTCCTATTTATATGCGATGATGACTATGAATAGTCCGTCCAAACAAAGTAAAAAGATAAAAGAAAAGTCATTGTTTAATATCAAAAAGAGCGCGGGTCCACTTATGGCACTTACTGTAAGTATTTTCCAACATAATGTTAGTCTATACAGAATTTACTTTTGCAGTTTTTCTGCAAAAGTAAATTCTGTCATTTCGATAGTCTTTCTTTCTGATGTTGTGCATTACATTCTCTTCAGCTGTTGTTAAAAATAAAAAAATAAAAAATTTAAATTCATTTGAAATTCGTTCTTTTCATTTATTTTATTGCTGAACAGCCCCTATCGGCATCGGTGTATGGGGCTGCTGGTCCTCCACATCAAACACCAATATTTTGAAAAACTCAAAACGGATTCGGATTCCTGGATCCTGGAAACCCTTCAATCAAAATTTATAAAGAATCGTTATTTTCGTAAAATAACGTATTCCTGTTGAAAGAATCAAGAATCTATAAATGCTTTGTCAAGATTTTTGAATTTCATTTTTTGCCTTAAAAGGTTATTTTTCGAAAATAATGATTCTCTTATAAAGTTTGATCGAAAGTTTTCCGGGTCCAGGAATCCGAAACCGTTGTCGGTTTTTTCAAAATATTGATGTTTGACGTGAGGGACCAGTAACCCTTACAACAATGCCGATACCAACCAATATCAATACCAATTGGTACTGACTGGTATTGGTATTATTACATCCATACCTCTATACAATAGGACTTGAGCACCCAAGGTTACCCTCGTATAATAGGAGATGAGACCCTAAGGATACCCTCCTAATATAGCACTTGAGAACCCACAGGTACCCCACAATACGGGACTTAAGGACCTAAGGGTACCCTCCTAATATAGGACTTGAAGACCCAAGGGTACTCTCATATAATAGGAGATTAGGACCTAAGGGTACCCCTATTATATAGGAGATGAGGACCCAAGGGTATCCCCATAATATAGGAATTGAGGACCCAAGGGTATCCTCATATAATAGAAGATGAGGATCCAAGGGTACTCCTATAACAGAGGAGATGAGGACCTCAGGGCACCCCTGTAATATAGGACCTGAGGACCCAAGGATACCCCTATCGTATAGGATTTGAGGACCCAAGGGTACCCCTATAATATCGGACTTGAGGACCCTTGGATACCCCTATAATA